ATTTTAACAGCTACTAGATCATGACCCGCACGTACGTGCGGAATTTCGTATTTTAAGAAATGTATTGTGATAAAGTTTTAGTAAATATAGATTATTTTGTTTTTTGTTGATATATATTGTAGTATATAAATTATAATGTACTGTATCAAACGTTGAACTTGGAAAAGAAAACTTAATGTGAATACGGTATAATTTAAATACTTAACTGAGGAACATGAATAAAGAGAACTTTTATAAAGAGTGTTTAGAATCAAACAGGATAAGAAAATAAGAATAACCGGAAAAGAATGAATATAATATTTATAGAACCAAACATGATAAACATCCATACGAAGTCAGTTTTATGTCTTGAATTCCTTACGATCAAATCTCTTGCTTTGGCCAATAGACAATAAAAATGAGAGATTAAAATGTGTTTAACAGATACAAAATTAAATATATGATAACATTTATGAAATATATTTTCTTTGCGAATGGATCAATATTCGACTTGTGATTTAGTGTTGACCCTAAAACCAAAAACCATAAAAATATGCATAGGAGGTTAGTAAAATTAGGAGATAAACATCATAAGAACATGAAGTAATTTACTTTTAGATCTCCATCTACTGTTTAAAGAATCGATTTTCTAGATTAACTGTGAGATAATCAACGTGGATGTATGCACACTGATATTTAAATTATATTTTAATGTTTTTAGAAAAAGAAAATAATCAAATTTAGAAGAATGTATATTCCAAAAGCTTGTAACAATTTGATACGAAATAAAATAATTTATTTGATTTGAAATATATTAAACTTTTTTTTTGGTAAGAAATATATTAACTTATTTGGCTCTAAATAAAATAATTTGGAGATATAGTAACTAATATAATCCGTTTCAAAAATAGATTTTCTTTTATATAATTCAAATTTAGTTTAGTAATATATATTTAAAATATTGAAAACTACCCGTTTTTAAAAAAAATATTTTAATGTATACTGCAAATATTTTTCAAGATATTTACATATCTAAAATCCAAAACTTATTTGTTGAATATGCTATACTTAAAAGGATGAAAGTATTTAGTTTAGATTATATATGATAAATATACTAAATGTTTTTTTAATATTTGGAAAATAAAATTTTAAATCTTTTATTTTTCTGTGATTTAATCAGAATTAATTAGCATAGTTTTGTTAAGAAAATATTTTAAAATCTAAACTAAATAATAATTTGTTAAATTAGATTATCGTTTCCAGAAATATTTAATAATAAATTACCAAAATAAATAAGTTTACATATATATAATTTTGAATTAAATAGCTTGATTTATTATGGACCCTTCTTTAAACAATTTCCAAAAAGTGTGTACTTGGAAATTCTTTTTGTTTTTTGTAGATATAATCATGTTTTGAGTTGAATTTAATGGGGTTCTGCTGAATTTATGATGCTGGTGGGTAATGGATATTCCCGTATTTACTATGGTGGGTGAGTGGAGATGCAAAGAAGAAGAATGGAAATTTGAACCAGAGGAAGGCATCTTTGGTCGCTGTGTACGTGTTAAGGAAAACATGACGTACACGGAATTTGTACGTACATTATGCGAGGTTTTTAGTGTGAAGTGTTTTTAAGAACAGAAAAGTCATACAACAAACAATGTCTTATCTCGCAATCAAACAATGCTTTTGCTACAAGCAACCTAGGTCATGTCCTACAAAATTGGAGATGGTTTGCGTTGATGATACTTGTCCATGGCATTTGACAGCTCAAGTTGTCAAGAAATATGGGATATGACATGTCAGAGATATGGGATATGAGTTATGACATGTCAGAGATGGACTGAATTTTTGTTGAGAAATATGGGATATGACATGTCAGAGATGTTGGTGACACTCTATTTATCGTGGAGCTAATATGAAAATTCAATTAATTAAAAGAATCGTGTACGTATACTAATGAATGTGTACGAGATTGAAAAATCATCGATAATTTTGGAGAGAATTATGACATTCAACCATTTGTGAGTCATAACCAAAAGGGAAGACATCATTTTTGGAAGAATTCGATGATTTAGTCAATGTCCGACTTGATGAAACAGAAGTATAAATTAGTATGACATGAGAGACATTGTAAGTTGTGAGTATGTTTAGAAACACTTATTTTTTTGCAAATAACAATGTCTTCATCTCTAGTAGGACTATCGTAGAATATTGATTTATTATTATATCAATAAATATATCTCAACAATTTTAACTCATCAACAAAGATATACGTACACTATTATACATGTACGTACATAACATTTTTAAGAATGTAGGTATCGAGGATATTGGGCATCATGGAGAGTCGCAAAACCCTTCACGGAGGTAACAAGTTCATCATAGATAAAGTCATATAAATGATCCACTATGATGAACCAAGAATAACACATCTCCTTTATCGGAGAAACCTCTCGGAAACGAGTTCGTTTCCGGTCACCAAAAGAACCATCTTTCACCGAATCCATGTGCGTTTGATCTGCCGCTAACGTCACCTCAATTGAAAATTGGCTCGAAATACTTAGAACCTGATCCATGATCAACGTAAGTGTAAGCCATGCCGCAACTATGGCCATCAGAAAGAGTAAAGGAAGGGTGCGTTGTACTAACCGCCACAAAAACTCCAAATCAATCACCAAAACCATCTTATCGTTTGCCGACGTATAAACATACATTATCGGAGACCAGCGTAATTCACTCTAGTGATGGAGAAAGACCATCATAGATGAAAAGACACGATCGCCTTGCCTATCGCCTCAGAGACGAATGGTTCTACAATTTATGTCTTTTTTGATGCATGTGTTTTTCATAAATTTATGATGCATGTGTTTAATAGAGATTTCTATTTTATTGTTGTTTGTGAGTGGAGATGCACAAAATATAAATTAAAAATTGGTAGAAGAGAAAATAAATTTAGGTAGGTATGTATATATTAAAATATTAAAACATGTACGTGATAGAAAAATCATCGATAATTTTGGAGAGAATAGTGATATTTAACCATCTTTGAGTTCTAACCGTGAGGTAAGACATGATTTGAAAGAATGTATGTACATTACTGACTGTATACACGAAGAAGCATATGAAGGTGAATATTTGACGTACACGAATACAAATGGGCATGTTAGAAGTGAAGTGAATGGTAATTGTGTGGAGTTTGGTTTGGAGGATCATGAAGGAGGATTTAACCTGAATCAGATTAGTGACCATAAATGAGTCTTCCGAAGTATATAACGGCTTTTCTACATTGCTAAGTGGTGAGGCGGAGATACTCGATAATGATGATGCTCTAGTCTCCAATGACTTAGCCAATGTCCAACTGATGAGACGGAAGTAGATATTAGTATAGTAGGAAAGACATTTCATGATATTAGTACAATAAGTGGTTAGTGCGGTCATGTGCGTGTACGTATATCTCAATATTGCCGTGTATGTTTACGGGTTCAGTTTGAAACATTACATATTCTTTACCAACAATCTAGTGTAACATAATCAGAGTAGTGCTATATGAAACTGATAGGTAAATGCATATTATATTGAAGAAAGTTTCTATAATAGACAAAAATTATTTATATTTTCTATGTTTTAATATTGATTTTATTATATTTTATTTTTACGTTTATGTATACCAATAGTATATTGTGAAATGTTAGTCAAATTAACCAAGTTTTTTTAATGAAAAAATTTATTAATATTACACGTACACCGCCTCCACAATGGTACATAATTTAAGAAACATACACGTCCATAAAATCAATATTGCGTACACAAAAATTGTGTACACGTACATAGAAGAAATTCAGAGGGACAAAATATATAACTATGGTTTACTTTTTGTCTAAGTCGCAAATTGCGTACGTTAACAAAAATAACTAAAGAAGAAAGCACACCTAGTACAAAAAATCAATTTCTTGAAAATTTTGCAGAATCTGGGTTTGCTATTGAAGATGAAAGAGAATTCTGAAATGATATGATCATACGAAAATCAAAATTTTGAAAACGATTTATCCTGATTTAGGTTGGGCATCAAGTTTTTAACGAAGATTTAACTAAGATTACTACTTGCAGGAGAAACGATACTCCGTTCCGCCTCTCTGCAAATTTTGAAAAAAAAAAATAGATCTTTGAAAACGGTTTCGTAAGACTTGTGATTCGGGTACTAAAATCGATCGCATGAAAGTAAATTGACATTATGTTCTACTCGCCAAAGACGCAAATCGGAGATACGATAATCTAACATATTTACATGTCAACATAATCAATGATACGTACACTATAAATTGCATGTACGTACACTGAAAAAATTTAATGAAGGGTATAATTGTAATTTGGCAGTCGTCTTCAATCTCTGAATCCCTAATTTTGCAGCTGTTTTCAACAGTTATCTCAGAATTTTGTTTTCTTTATACATTTTGAATGTTTCTTACATGTAAATATTGTACATCTAGCATATTTTAAGTTCGAAAAACTAAAGAGTTTGAGTTTTGTTTAATTGTCCGGTGATTAAGTCGATTCCGTCGAAAGAACACTTGCTTTTTCACCATTTTTATCATTTCTCCAACTCGCCAGAAATCTCTTAATCTATTAATTCTAATCTCTCTACTTGATAATGAAGCAAAATCAATTATTTCACTACAAAATTTCAGATTTAAAATAAAATTTCCTTTGATTTTAGTATAAAGAGCAGCTCACCTTTGTACTTGGATTATTTCATTTCTTTTTCTTTAAATTCTGATTTTCTAAAAAATTTTATATGTTTAAGTAAAAAAAATATATAATCATTTTTTCTTTCATGTAGTTTGGTTGTAGAAGAGTTAAGAAACGTAACCAAACAAGAATAGTTGTTCTCAAATAGCTCAATTGGCTATTCTCTGAAAGGTCAATTTCACTTTGCCAAAACATGAGAACAAAACTCAAAATATTGTTTTACGTGAAAATAACTTTATTAACAAACACATTTAAACATTTTCTTGAAATGTAGCCAAGAAAAAGGCAGCCACAATGTCTTCTCAGATAAAGAAAAAAAACAAAAAAAAATCTATGGTCTTGGTATCCCAAATCATTCTCTAGTTTCTACATACAGTAAAACCTCTATAAATTAATACTCTATAAATTAATGAGTTTTTTGCATCTCAGGACACTTTGTGAGTTTCTATGAGCATATAAGGCACATTAGAGGGAGTAGGTACTTTTTTTTGAGTTTTTTCACTGTTCCAAAAAAATTAATACCAGTTTACCCTCACTACACGTGGACAGTTAACCCGACTATTGTTAACTTGTTTATTCTCAACCGTTGGATATGTAGGAGAGAGAATAGATCTAACGGTTTGTGGCAAGCTTTAGATGAGAGAATAGATCTAACTTCTCGCCGGCAACCTCCGCAGATCTTGATGATGCCTCCACTTCATTCTCCGTCCATTTTCAAACAGTGCCGGCGAAGACCATTAGGCTGTGCTTCCAACTGGGAATCCTTCTCGGGCTCATCTCCCGAAGATCTTTGCTTCTCTTTCCTTAGAAACTCGCTGTCATCCGCCGCCACCTCGCGCCGCTCTGCCTTTGCTTGCGTTTCTCTCCGATTCAACGGTTCGGAGCATTCCGATTCAACGGTTCGGAGCATTCCGGTGTCCAAATGGCGAGTTGAGGAATTTTGTGAGTGCTAAGTATGTTTGGTGAGAGCAACAATGGAGTTTGTGAAGATCGTGTAGCTTCTATATTTTACTTCACGGAGAAGCCTCTCTATATTTAGATTTTTTGTAGGTTTGTTTCCTCAATTTTAGTAACAGAATTTGTTGAATTTTGTAAATATATGATTCATATTAGCGAAATTGTGTTTGTGAAGACGACGAGATATGTTGCAGATCTGAACTCCCTCTTCCCTTACTCTCCACTGTTTCAGATATGTTGGAAGAAGACGATGAGAGAGGCGGTGATGACGTGTCACATTTCTTTAGAAGCAACTTCATCAATCGACTTACTTATTTTGTGTTTATAAATCTCTCTCTCTCTCCCTCTCTCTCTCTCTCTCTCTCTCTCTTGAAGAAGAAGAAGAAGAAGAAGAAGAAGAAGAAAGAAGAAGAAGAAAAAAGAAGAAGAAGAGATGGCGGCTTACTACAGTTTTTTCAATTCGTTCGGAGAAACCATGGGTTCTTAATTTTTTCCTTCCATTTTAGATTTAGGGAGATTTATTCAAAGTCTTGAATGATGAAGGCTTCCTCTGCTTATGTTACAGCGGTGCAGCCACCGATGGTTATGAAGAAACGTGGATGGAGATGAATTTGAATCTTTAAGTGAAGTTGTTGTTTTAGCTTTGTCGTTACTGCTACTCTGCAAGAAGATGATGGATGAGAATTTAAAGAAGTTTCACAGACTTATTTGATCACTTGTGGTATCTCTTGAACTTGGAATGAGATTAGATATGAATGTTGAAGATGTGAATTGCTCATTTTTGTTACTTTAATTATTCTTTGTTAGCTTTGGTTTTACTTTGTTCATTAGCTAGAATAACATGGAAGTCTGAAACCACCATTCTATAATTATTTTTGAACATGAGAATCCAATATGCAAAATCTTCTTTCTCTTTCTCAAGCATAAGTCTGAAACCACGCCATTCTATAATAAATGAGAATTGATTACTTCCATAAAATTAAATCAATCGGATACTAATTGGACATTCAAATGTAGTTGGACAACATGGTAAAAGTAGACGTGGAAGAAATGATGTTAGAGCTTTAGATGATTCTATGGCCAAATGATGTTATTCATTTAGCTCTGTTGTTAATGCTACTCAACGTTAATTGTTTGGTTTACAAAAAAACACTAAAATGCATATCCATTTGGTCGCCGCTAGATGGATACACCGTCATTTCTTACACTATATCCATTTGTTCGATGTTACATGGATACACCTCCACTCCTAAATGTCATATATGAACGCGTATTTGCGTATTGTCAACCATAGGAATTCGTCTATTACCCTTCGAAGATATGTTCGCCAACTTATAAGGTGTTCTTGTATTTCATTTTGGTGAACAATGTTTAGATATGTTCGCCACCGTGTCTCTGTTTGTGGAGCTAAAACATTTTAATTTAAGAGATGTAAAATATAGGATCATTCCTATGGTTATGTTCATATAATTTAAAGAATTATTGTGGAATAAGGTTAAACACTAAATCCTATCCACCATCTTTAGTGTCTCAGTCACAACAACAATATAAACCTAAAATGAGATGAAAGTTCGGTTTAAAGGTTAAACCCAAACCGATATTTAACTTTTTTTTTTTAATATATAACACTAAACCCTACTCCCTACCTACTAAACCCAAACCGATATTTAACTTCTTTTTAATATATAACACTAAACCCTACTCCCTACCTGCTAAACCCAAACGATATCTAGCTTTGTTAACAATATAAACCCGAACCGATATTTAACTCCTTTTAAATATAAAACACTAAACCCTACCCCTACCTACTAAACCCAAACCGATATTTAACTTTTTAAAAATCTATAACACTAAACCCTACCCCTATCTAGTAAACCAATCTTATATGGTTACCCCAAATAATAAATTCTTACAATAAATCTAACAAACTTAGAAACCATCCTAAAAATAAACTATAAACATAGTCACAATTAAAGAGTAAATGTGTAAACATTAAACTAAGTCTTTAGTCCATTCGTAAATTTGAGAGATTTTAGTGTAGCTGACAAGTTTGACCATTAATTCTTCGAATTTTTCAAAGACGAGACTCTCTCTATTTCTTCTCCATATGGTTATCTTAGTATGTACGAGCTCATCCTAAAGAGATTGACTTTGTCTTTCTCACCGATTACAATTTTTTGGGTTTCTTCTGATTTAATTTCTAGATACAATTCATTCGTTTTAAGTAAATGTTTTTGGATTCAATGTTGAACATGTTCTTGTTTGTCCTTGGATCCAAGTAAATTTATATGTTTTATTGTTGGAAAAACACCTAAATACGCTTATGGATTAGTTGGATTTTTTTTGGTATATATGGTGCTCTTGTGGATGTGGTTTTGTGGATATGTTCAGATTTTGATTTTTTTGAACTCAATCTCTGTTTTTTTTTTCAATTATTTATAATCTGGGTTTATACTGATTTTGCTTAGATTTTACTAATTGTGTTTAATGTTAAAGGACCAGTGAGGGAAGGTGATATCCTCACCTTGCTCGATTTTGAGAGAGAAGCCATAAGACTTCGTTGATGTGTCGTCTCTTGTTCTTCTTCTTCATATTCTACAAGCGGAAACAAGAAAACATTTGATTATTTCACTTTTGGTTTCTCTAATTAGAGTAGTGATTATGCTTTGGAGTCTGAATTTTGTTGTTGCTTTAAGAAAATTGTTGAATTGATGTGTTGCATAATCGATGTCTCCGATTACGTCCCATGACTCATCATCCACATATACTATATTCGATGGACATCGTTCTCTTAGCAATGCAAAGACAAACTGTGTAGAATTTGTAATGCGTATTGCATCATGGACAGGGTTATGTGAACTAATTATCATGGATACGATGTTTTTGGTGTTAACTTGTGTGTTCTTTGTACCAAAACACAAAAGGCTGATCGTTGTGCCATGGTAACATATATCCAGAATATTTGTGTCCATCCAAAAGTGACCACCACGAGTGCTCATTTTGATAATCATAGAGCACTGAGTCCTAAACCCTAAACCCTAAACCCTAAACTTTAAACCCTAAATTCTAAATATTAAACCCTAAATCCTAAACTATAGATACTAAACCCTAAACGATAGATACTAAACCCTAAACACTAAATTGTATACCCTAAACCCTATACAGTAAACCATAAACCCTAAACCATAAATACTAAATCCTAAACCCTAAACCATAGATAATAAATCCTAAACTCTAAACACTAAAGCCTAAACCCTAAACCCAAGAGACTAAACCCTAAATCCTAAACCCTAAAGCCTAAACCCTAAACCCTAGAGACTAAACCCTAAACCCTAGAGACTAAACACTAAACCCTAGATCTTAAACACTAAACCCTAAACCCTAAACTATAGATACTAAACCCTAAACCATAGACCTGAAACCCTAAACCCTAAACCCTAGAGACTAAATACTAAACTCTATACCCTAACCCCTATACCCTAAACCCTATACCCTAAACTTAAAACCGTTAACCCAAAACCCTACACCATAGATACTAAACCCTTAACTTAAAACCGTTAACCCAAACCCTACACCATAGAGACTAAACCCTAAACCTTATATCCTAAACAATAAACCCTAAACCCTATATCCTAAACAATAAACCCTAAACCCTATATCCTAAACAATAAACCCTACCCCTTACCTCTACCTACTAAACCCAAACCGATATAATTTGTCAACAATATAAATCCAAACCGATATTTAACTCTTTTTGTGTATATAACACTAAACCCTACCCCTACCTACTAAACCCAAGCCGATAGTTTGGTTTAAAGGTTCAACATTAAACCCTACCCCTTACCTACTAAACCCAAAGCAAAATTTAACCTCTTATAAATATATAACACTAAACCCTAACCATACCTACTAAACCCAAGCCGTTATCTAACTTTATCAACAATATAAACCTAAAGCGAGACGAAATTTCGGTTTAAAGGTTTAATAGTAAACCCTACCCTCTATCTATTAAACCCTACACTAGATTTTAAACCAAAAATTAAAATCATATCGTAACCATAATAATAGTGATAATTTTACCAAGCAATAAAACACATTCGCAACAAATGGACAGTTAACCCAAGTGTGGTTAACTTGTTAAATCTCAGCCGTTGGATGTGTAGGAGCTAAAAAAAATCTAACGGTTCGTTGGTGAATTAGTTACAAACTGTTAACCAATTAGAAAGCAAAGAAATTTGTAAAAAAATATGGATACCATCCAAATAAACTGAAAATTAAGATCTAATGGTTGTGGATGGGCACGGTTTTCGGAGTGAAATTTGGTTTTAAAGAGAGATAAATAAAGGTAGTGTATTATAATAAAAGAGGATTATAAGTAGTAAATCAGAGATAAACATATTTTTTATTGTATAATAAATTATAATTACTTTTTCTTTACATTTGAAGATCCATTTTACTATAGTTTATAAATATAATAATATAACACAAAAATGT